GAATACACACAGTACTATCTGAGCCTGACCTGGAGAGTAAAAGAATACACACAGTACTATCTGAGCCTGACCTGCCACAGGTCCACATTAAAACCACCTGATGATGATGAGGAGAAATGTGGGAGGAGTCACAGCTCTTTTATTCAAACATTATAAATAATGTTAGGTACAGTTTATGTGTACTGTATGTTGGGAATGACTCTCAGCTACTTTTACACAAAGTTTTAGCTGATTATTTTTAATAATGACTGAATTGTAGCCACTTTTGTGCTGGCTTAGTTTAATTAGTTGTGGCGGCCATCTTGAATTGTTTTGTTTCCAAAGGTTTATCTGTTGGAAAGTTACAGTCAATGTTTATGTTTTGAAAGTTTTATTAAAATCTGTTTAGTGGTTGATGAGCTGTTTTGCTAACAGACATGGTTGGTTTTGATTGTTAATAACAAAGTTTGGTTTGATTGGWCAGTGTGACCAGGACAGGATTGTCAGCTACGATCACACAAAATGTTAGTTGACTACAGGTAAAGTGGACCGAGGTGTAGGAACCTTTGTGTCTGCACAGATGAATAACTGTGGCGGCCATCTTGAATCAGACTGACCCTACTGAACCAGCTGTAGGTACATCCAGTGAATACTTTATAAAAGTTTAATTTAAATCTTTCTACTGCTTCATGAGAGTATTYTACTAACAGACAGAAGCACCAACATCACTGCCCACCTTCTGGCAGTATAAAATCAGACATCTGTTGTGTACTCACCACATCTCCAGGTGGAAGCTGGTGCTGGTTATATCTTTAAACTCTCTGCAGAAGAACAACAACAGGAGTAACACACACGTCTGTTTGGTTCACTGGAAACTGTCACACATTTTAACTCACAGGATGAAGGTCTGGTTCCAAATAGGATTCAGGGTTTGCTTTTTGATCTCTGTTTGGCAGATTTTCTCGTGCGACACGGTGTCCTTCGCAACATATTTACTTGGTTTGGCTTTAGGGCTGCTGGTTTCAGTTTGTTTCTCATCTTCCAGTACCATCAGGAGGCAGTACGGGTCACTAAAACCTGATGAAAACACATGAGAGATGGTTGGAGATCTGGTTAAAAAACAGGAAATGAACCAATGTACACAACTTTGAACAACAACACACTTATAGAAGCAACAAAACCCTTAATAGACAGAAATGTAAATCTGTGTAAAGTAGCCTGAATCCCATTGTTTCCCTGKTTTATCTCTGTGAAGCAGAACCAATGGTATGAGCTCTTATATCTGTGAGTTAGTCTTTAAACAAGGCCCAGCATTGCTCACCTGCTGCCTTTCATGACTTTCAAATAACATCATCTCACACAAAGTTGTAGCCGTTTGTTTAAACCTTGTAAATAACAACTAATAATGGTAAAACTTTAAACAGATATWTTCCCAAACCTTCTGGTACTCAGAATGGTGTTGGGATGTATTTCTGCTACTTTTTATGGGCTGCTGTTTGTAAAGTTACACAGTCAAAAATACCACCAATATTTTTGTTTTATTTAGACTTTTATAAGAAAAAAAGAACAGATTTATTTTTCAAAGTCAGTTTTTCACCAAATGATTCATAAATTTA